ATATATATATATATATATATATATATATTATACATAAATATATGAAAAATTCATGTGGGTACTCAAATGAAAGGTCTTGATGAGTGTAATCTCAGGATGAGCTTATATCTTAATAAATGTCAATAGTTCTCAAGATACAAGGTCATTTCTTAGTTATGTATCTAGAGATCGAGCACAAAAATTCCATTTTTTTTTAATAACTTTTTGGGACAGATTTTTTTATTAAATAAAATAATATTAATGTAATTTATTTTTATATTTCAGAAATTTACAAGCTTGAAAAATTAATAATGGTGAAGAAACGTTCACGTAAGAAGTTATTAGATCAAATAAATAAAACTCGTGAAGAAATAGAAAAAAAAAAAGAAGACTCGACAAGTTTAAAAAATTTAATTTTAAAACATAATCTTTACTCAGATTACCTGAAGAAAAAAACAATTATAGCCAACAATGTTATATTGTTGAAAAATAAATTTAAAATAGTTAATAAACTCCAGAGTATTTTATCCTGCGAAGGGACAATGTTGCCGGTTAATCTCAACGAGTGGTTGACAATGTTAGAGAGGTTGGAAAAAATGTCCGAGGAGCTGGAAAATGAGTATGTTAAATCACGAGCGACTGTCAGTGAAGATAATTGTCAGTTAGGTGATATCGTGTCTAGGATTGATTTTCCAGAAGATGATCTTGCTGTGCTGCTGCAGGATGCTTTTGATAAGCTGGGTGAGAGTATGAGCCATCAGAATAAAATTAAGCAGTACGCCAGGTTGCCTTTGTCCCAGCAGCAGCAGGAGCTGGAGCAATCTTTACTGGAGTTGGAAGGAATGAAATGTGCTGGAAATTTTGAGGATGATAATAATAATGATTATAATTGGCGAGGAAATAAAAGTAAAATTGAGAAGGTCAGTGGAAGAAAATTTGATTACTATGATGTACTTTTTGCTGATCGTGGTAAAAATTCTGGAAAAAATTCTGGGAATAATTCTGGGCTTGATGATTCTGGAATTGGATTGGAGCAAAAAATCGATTGGTTTAATGGTATGTTTTTTTTTATTTTTTTAATGATATTAAAAGCAATAAAATTAAATTAGCCGACATCTTGAAATTTTAATAATTTTTTTTATTGAAAAAATTATAAAGTTTACATGTAAATAATTTAAAAAATTATAATAATACTGAAATCAGCCGTCAGCTGTCATCAATTAAAAACAATTTTTTTAACATTTTTATATGTGGAACTTTTTAATTAAATTTTTTTTACAATAATTATATTGCTATAAAATTCTAAATTGTGTCATAAATTATGTGTTCAATTTTTTATAAGTATTTTTTTACTTGTAATTTAATTAAAAAAAAAAAAAATGTTGAGTGTTGGCTAATTTTTCATTTATAAATTTATGAATAATTTTGATGATTATTTTTGTTTTTTTTTTAGATTCCATCGACGAAGAGCAGTTTGAAAGACTGAAGAAGAAATAAATGAAACATTTATTTTTTGTACTACTAAGAAATAAATTAAGAAGCTAATTTTAATTAACTGGATCTCTATTTTGATATTAAGTAATTATTTGAACGCAGAAAAATAATTTTTGATAACAAATAAAGTAGACCAAGAAATAGATATAAATATATTATTTTTTTTTCATAAATATTACAGTAATCTGTACAAGCAAACTTGCAGTCACTATGCGACTACCGAGACTCATGAACTATGAACAAATGAATTTTGCTTTATTAAATAATGATTTTTGTTAAATTGAACTGTATTTTTTTAACTATTGACGTTTTTAAAGATATAAGCTCATCCCGATGTTGTACACATCAAGAGCTTTCATTTGAGTACCCACATGGATTTTTGATATATTTTTCATATATACATATATGTAATATATAAAAATATATAAAATATATGAAAAATTGATGTGGGTACTCAAATGAAAGGTCTCGATGAGTGTAATGTCGGGGTGAGCTTATATCTTTAAAAATGTACTCAAATGAAAGGTATTGATGAGTATAACATCGGGATGAGCTTATATCTTTAAAAACGTCAATAGTTAAGAAAGTTGAATTAAAACTGATAAAATAAACATAAAAATAATAAATAATAACAAAACTATTATTATTATTATTATTATTATTATTATTATTATTATAGGAACAAGTATATTTGATCGAATAATGATACGACTTGGACATATGTGTGTTGATTATTTGGGATGGAGCAGCTTCAGGATCGGTGGATACATATATCCGACATACGCATATCCGACCAACAGACGAGAGGAAGAACAGCAGCCGTCTCTTTTTGGATAGCTCGCTCAGCTGCCGTAGCTTCCCACGCTACTAACACACTTACATCCTCGTATGTGTTTTCATATGCTGCTGCTGCTGCTGCACCTACCAGCCCACCAGCCTACCTGACTCCGGCATCACCGATCACACACACTCACACACTGTTAATACCTGATGCCTATACAAATGTCCAAAAAGAAGGACAATGCCAACTTTCATGCGGTCTTTCTAGGCACATGCCACTCTGCTTTACCGAGCAGGTGTCTCAGCGCTATTATTGCCAATTCAATATATTTCGGATATATACATGTATTTATACACTAATGTATTATAAATAATATTAACTATTTATCCTTTAAGGATAAAATAAGGCCAGGGCTACTTTATGGCTCCGGATCGGTACAGATGCAAAAGCTATCAGCGGATCATGAGAACGCATCTGATTCTCAAAGTGAGCAATGGTATACACCGAGCCACAAGAACAAGAAGAACAAGAAAAAGCATAACAACAACAACAACAACAACAACAAGACCAAGAAGAAGAGGAAGGGTTGATCGTTGGTTCCGCCATCAGCAGGGTGGTGTCTAAGATGTAGATGGAGGATCACAGCTGCTGTTCGGCAACCAACCTTATTCCACCGTACCATCTTTTTTATTTATGCCGTAGACTTTTCGGTTCGTCTTATTCTCCCACGCTCCTGGTTCACATATATATACATATATCTTAACCTGTACTCTATATTTATCTCGAGGGTTAGGGAACCGATTCAAAAAATTTATACTATTTTTATCCTACTGACTTTAAATACATCATTTATTTTTTTGCAGGAAAATTTTAAATAATTCTAAATTCAGCTTATATCTTTAAAAATGTCAATAATTAAGAAATGACCTTGTATCTTGAGAACGACTGACATTTTTAAAGACATAAGCTCACCCCGATGTTACACTCATCGATACCTTTCATTTGAGTACCCATATCAATTTTTCATATATTTTATATATTTATATATATTATATATGTATATGTATATATGAAAAATATATCAAAAATACATGTGGGTACTCAAATGAAAGCTCTTGATGATAGTGTCATCAGGATGAGATTATATCTTTAAAAACGTCAATATTTAAGAAAGTACAGTGCAATTTATCAAAAGTCATTATTTAATAACGCAAAATTTCATTTATTTATAGTTCACAAGTCACGGTAGTCACATAGTGACTGCAAGGTTGCTAGTTTATATTCATATTTAATCTTCATCCAAACAAAATTTCAATCCTGCCAATTTAGGTTCTGAATCGTCTTTTTTCGGACAATCTTCCAGTGAAACGCACTCCCTAGAATCATTACGAACGAATCCTTTCTTACATCGGCAGGCAGATGTTACGCCGCCACATTGCTATGAAAAAATATTGTTAATTGTTGATATTAATAAATTTTCTTATCAAGGTTAAATAAGAAGACTAATATAAATTCTTACGATTCCTGGACAAAATATGGGGTTGTGTTCTCGACAACCACAAGTTGGCTCGCACATTTTTCCACATAAATCTATTTCTTCATTAGCACCACATTTAACTTCAGCATCTTCCGCCAAAACTGCAATAAATAATCAAGTACTTATTTAAAAAAAATTTTTAATTTATTAAGTGTAAATTTATTTGTAAGAATTTAATTATTCTTTAAATTATTCATTTTTATTTTTTAATGTAGAAATTTTTTTTTTGTAAAAAAGTAATTGTCTTGTTGATAAAAAAGTTTTATAAATTTGTGAAAAAAAAAATTTTTTGATGAAAATTTGTAAATTTTTAATATAAAATAGGTAATTGTTTTTTTTTTTTTACAAAATTGAAAAAAAAAATTTACATTTTTTCAGTTAAGAAATAAAATTTTATTTCTTGTCACAACATTGGTGATTTTTAAAAAAATAAATTTCTTCTCTAAAAATATTTAGAAAAAATTTCAATTTATTAAATATTGTTATTGCAAAAATAAATTACCGTGGACGTTTGCGACGATGAATATCAGAGTGAAAGCCAGTAAATAACGAGTCATAGTTAACTCGCACAATTGCAGGTTGATAAATCGGTACAGAAAAAAATGTTTACCGTTTTATATCCAGTATCTTATCTTTTAGCTCACTTATAATAGCGACAAGTCCGGCTAATGATGTATTGCTTCAATATTCTACAAATATATAACAATATATATTTGTAAATTTATGATAAAATGTTTTTCTTATTTCAATTTTACAATACGGTAAGTTCGCTAATATTTTATCTAAAATATTTGTACATTCTTTTATTTACCATAGTTGATAATTTATTTATTTTTTTCTTCAAGATAAACTTGGTGTTTATTTACACTAATTGCAGTTAATTGCAATAAGGAAAAATTAATGACAAGCTGAACATAAAAAAGATCACTGAATTTATTATTTATATAAGGAAATTTTTATTTAAACTAAAATAATTTTTTTCTTTTATTTGATATAAAAAAAATAGGATTTTTTTTTTATTGTTAGCTCTTTGTATATATACTCTGGTTAGGTTTTTCTGAAAGTGAGAATCGGAAGCCACCTAGCGGTCAAATCAAGTACTAATTGTTATAGTAGCAAAATTTACAAACAATTTATAAAAATAACCTATATAATAATTCAAAATGTCTATACTATTGAATGCTGATGAAAAAATTATTAATTCGATCATTTTTTTTTCATAAATAACATAAATATAAAATTATAACCGTACTTTTAGAGAAGTTCTCACGTCCGTTTTCCTTCTAAACACTGATTTAATTATTCAATCCGTCCTAGCACGTCTTCACCCTCAATGTGACCGCTTAATCAAATTATCTCTTCCTTTTACCTCTGGAAGACTTTCCGGGCTTTAATTCAATCCGAAATTTTACTCTTAGTAATAAACAATAATATGAAATGTTGAAAGCTCGACATTGGTTATACTTACCCAACTTGACGTAAAAAAATCCTTACTATATCGACTTTAAATTTGGTTAAGTAGCATCGGGATGAGCTTACATCTTTAAAAATATCAATAATTAAGAAATGACCTTGTATCTTGTGCACGATTGATATTTTTAAAGATATAAGTTCATCTCGACATTACACTCATCGAAACCTTTCATTTGAGTACCCACATCAATTTTTCATATATATATATATATATA